AACTTAATTCGTTCCGGAGGTCCGTTCTTAACCTGAAACTGTTCTTAACCTGAGGTACCACTTTAGCTAATGGGGCCTCCTGCTGCCGCTGTGCCGCCGGAGCACCATTTCTGTTCTCATCCTGAAGCAAAGTTCTTAACCGGAGGTACTATTTCTGCGTTAGTGGAGTCTGCAACCTGAAGCGTATGTAACCTGAGGTACCAATGTATTACAGTTCGTTGGTAGAGGGAGGGATTGGGTCCCCAGGGTGTCGTTGGTTGCAGTGGGGTTTATTTGCATTTGTGGGGTCAGCCTTGTTGGGTCAGGTAAGCCAGATTGATTCGTATACTGTCAGTGGGTCCCTATTGTTGTCTTGTTGGACAAGATTGGAGCCATACTGGGGTGAAGGCATCCTCTTCTATTTGTTCCTGTGTCATTTTCAGTTTGTTGCTTAGTTTTTCTAATAAGGCTGTTTCCCATACAATTTGGTACCATTGGTCCATGCTTACTGCTGACAGGTCTCTCCAGTGTCTGGCTATGAGGCTTCTGGCTGCTGAGAGTAGGTGGGTTATGAGCTCTGTATAATGTGAGTGGCCATTACAATATTGGAAGGTGTTCAGTAGGGCCAGTCCTGGGGTGACTTCTAATACCCGTTTAGTTAATTGGCAAGCACCCTGCCCAGTTGATGGTGATGTACAAAGCAGCAGAAATTCTTCCTCCTTTGTTGAGCTGCAAAGCACTGGACATTATGAGCCCCAAAAAGAAAAAGAAAAAATACAGATATTCCTCCCCAGAAGAAAGAGACTGCATACAAAATGCACAGAGAGTAAACTGGAAAAATAATTTTAATTTTCTAGTTTCATTTTTAGTCATCTTAGCAATTATTTTCAAACTAGAATAGGTAAAAATCCTTCAACAGAAACGTGATTAAAAAACAAGCAACCAGCCCACCCAAACCAGGTAGTGCGCATCGCAGAGCCAAGTCTACTTATTACGACAGTTGTCAACTCTGTCCTTCCCAAGATACATCAAATAATATTTGTGCACATGGCGATAAAATTGCTGACAAAATCCCACTGAACTTGCAAAGGAACGTGCCCCCCCCCCATCTTTGGCAAAACCATCAACTCATAAAAATGTGCACATTTGAAAAATCTCCCCCTCCCCCGTTGCTAACACATCTATACACTCATGTAAAAAGAGTTACATTTATGAATAAGTTACCATCATAATGACTCATTAATTAATTGATTAATTAGGGCTAGAACTGTGTGTTTGTCTAGACCAGGAGTGGAGAAACCTTTCCAATCCAAGGAGTAAATTTCCTCATGGACACCCCCTTCCCCTCTCCCATCCATCCATGCAAAAACAAACAAACAAACAAACAAACAAACAAACAAACAAACAAACAAACAAGGTGTTCCTCACCATTCAAGGACATATTCCAGCCAGGCAGAAGCACAGCAGGATGGGAGAGGAGTGGGGCCTGTGGAGAGCCCACACAGCCTGTTCTGGAAGTCCACCTTTGGCCCCTGGACCTCATTCTGCCCCCTCCTGGTTCAGATTGCCCAGGCACATTTTGCACAGCTTCTGGGGAAATGAGAGAGGTCCACATTCCAGTCCTATACCCCAAGAGGAGGACTTATTAAAAAGCACCACCAGAGCCACCGCTTTGACCTTGTGAACCAGGGATGGGGAGCCTGTGGTCCTCCAGCTGTTGCTGGACTACAACTCACATCACCCCTGACCACTGGCCTTGCTGACTGGGGCTGATGGGACTTGGAGTCCAATATCTGGAACACCCCAGACTCCCCCACCCCAGGTTTTGCATGACATTTCAGGACAGCTTACAGCACGACCCCAAGTCATCTTGAATTCAGGGGGCATCTGGCCTCGCAGGCAAGTGTTTAGGATTGCAGCCTCAGTCCTTCCAACACAGGATTTCAAGGTACTCTGTATTCTGGATTTAGAGATGTCAGTTTGCTGACCAGATCTGCTCAGAAGTTGAATCCCAGTAAAATCTTTCGAGCATGCTCCCATGTAAGTGGGGTCAGGATTGCAGCTGCAGCAGATGGGCTTTAAACCACCCCTGCGCCACTAATGCTGTAATGTCTCGGCTGCCTGGCCTGGTGTAGAGATCCCCTGCCTTGGGAGTAAGTGTGACCCAGTGGGTGCCTGGTGTGTGTGAGAAACTCAGTGCAAAATAAATTTCAGGTGAACTAGGTCAGGATTCAGGGAGGCCCTTTTTCACGTGCCTCGTCCAC